CGATTATGGAAAGAAGAAACCAGAAAGGATAAATGAGGGGATTTAGAGAAAGAGAGGCGGCAAAATAAGAGATTTAAAATTGAAAATGGAAGTAGGAAGAGCCTGTTTTTTATATAAAATATATTTCATTTAGTTTTGGTCTAATTTTGATTTTAGATCCTCTATTCTACTCAAATTTAGAGATTAATCCTTTTACTTTTTGATCCCTCTAAAATTCAATATTATTAAATTGAGCAGTTCAGTTGATAAACCTCAAATCTAAATTAAATAAAATAAGGCAAACAAAACATGCATTTCTAAATTTCTTCTATGATTGATCTCTATCTAAGAAACTGGTACATCGTACCAGAGCGATCCGAAATAAGTTTACCCCCCTCATACCGAATTTTAGGGACCTAGCGAATTGCGATCCCGTTCCACGTTCCCATACCGGAGCGTACCGCGATCCATGTGACTATGGTCATAAGAGTTGTTATCAACTTAATTATGACATTTTGTTTGATCTAGCTATTATTTATATGTATTTCCTCTGAATTTATTTTCTTGTTTGGAATAATATAGCATTTACAGTTTTGCAACGCTGTGGCTTATTTTCTGTGGTGGCCATAACTAATAACAAAGATTTAGTATGTTGTGTTCTGTTGTAAAAGCGTCCAGATGAAACCTGGTAAAATTTCTTACGGCTTCCATAAGTTGTTAAGAGGAGAACTCTCCTTTTAAATGTAGGATTAGAAGGATATCAGGAAGTTGCATGGTCTTATTCTTCCCAAATATCTTATTAATTCCACTTTTCTCATACAAGCAAAGTTTTGTGTAGGAATATTAAATGTGCTCATTGCTTTATTCATCGACTGTTACTACTTTTGGTTGGCAAATTATTTTGACCAGTGGAATTCATATTATTTATGTTTGGTGTTGAAAAGGAAAAGACGATCTAGTATTAAATTTGTAACTGACTTTCATATACAGTCAGTCCAGTAATGATATTCAATTTGTATAGGATGGAGAAGGTTGTTTATAGAACTTTCTTATTACAGTGGAGCCTTATACAATTTGCTGCACCTTGGAAAAAAAATACTTTAGCACCAACCTTTAGCAGGAACTTTTGTCGTGTAAAAATTATTGTATTGTTCATTAAGCTGTAAGATGAATCACTGCATTTTCACTGGGCCCTTTATTCTGCTTATGATATAAGAAGCGAAGATCAAAGAAATGCATGAATTTCTGGCCTACATTTGGATCCTATAAATTGTGTTTTACGTTGCATTATGGGAATTAAAGGATGTTAGATTTAGCTAGATAAGTTCTCTTGGTGGTATTATGAGAATACATGGAATATCTGAACGTCTCTTGGCTTTTTTTCCCTGCCATCAATGTCTTCACTATATTGCCTTTATTTCTGCACTTTAAACATCAGCTTGAAAATTTACAGGTCATTTGTGGGAGAAGATTTTAACTGGAAAGATGCTGCATAGGGCATTCAGTGTATTTTTGTTTAACACAAAATATGAGTTGCTCCTTCAGGTAACACAATAAAATATTGGTAATTGAGATGTTTAGAATTGTCACTATTTTGAACTTCGGCATTATAATGAGATATGAAGTCAGTAAGGTATGTTATTGACTTCTCATTTAGTAGAGTATTAACATTGTAATATGCTTCTTAGCACGCTAGTTAACACTAGTCACTTGTTTCGTTGTAAAAGTCAACCCAACACCTATTGCACCACTAAAGAAATCATATGACCTTATTTCCCTTAACTTGGGGAAAACCTTTTACACTTGTTGGGATGATAAATTCTAATACAAAAGTTTCTCCTTTATTTTTTATGTTTTCAAGAGTCACCTTGCTCAAAATATGAATTTACAATAATTTTTTTCCTTCACAAAATAATCAACTTCCAAAAGTTTTCAGGTATATTATCTCCTTAAAATTATATGTCAAATTTTGTTTGGGTTTTATTTTATAAAACATTTTATTTTATGAGGTATTGATAAAAATAAAATATTTTAATTAAAAATATTTTTTTGAAATAATTTATTTATAAAACTTCTAGTATGTAATTTTATAAAAATAATTATTCAATATGTATATCATTGTTTACTTAAAACTATATTTATAAAATAAACTTTAAAAATATTTTATCGTCGTGAGAAATATTTGAGTAGTATAAGATTTTTACTTCACATCAAGGAAAAAAGTGATATTTCATATTGTAATAGCTTAGTTTTCATTATTCAACTTTTTTTTCTTCTATCAAACAGTGAATAATTTTAGTACTAATGTTATTATATCTATTTTATCACACATGTATTAAATAAGTTTTTCTTCATGCTATTAGACTAACCAATGAAATGAGGCATAAGTGTATTTATTTACCTCATTTTCTTTATCATTTACATTCATTGGAAGTTATGATTTTGACTTCTTTTCTATCTTTTGAAGAGCCTTACAAGTCCTAAATCAGTAAGAGTAGAAAAGAGAAAATGTTGTAAGTTGGACAGGATGGTCACTACGAAGTCAAGTTTTGTAGGATCAGTTGCATTTAACGATGGAATGGGTGATAAACAAACATTAGAAACATAAAACAAAAGTGTGGGGAAACAGGGTATTGTCGCAGGTCTTAGGCTCTTAGACAAGCTGGCTAACCCCTTTCTTTATCTAAATCTTACCCTTTAACATTCTCTCTAGTCTTAATTTCTACTTTGGTACCAGATTTTACATTGAATACATTGCATATGCATGATAGTTATGCTTTGTAAATAGTTGAAGAGGAAAGGTTTCTTTACATGCCTTTCCTTTCGGGTACTTTGGCAGCAACGATCTGCAACGAAGGTAACATTTCCTCTGGTGTGGACAAACACCTGTTGCAGCCATCCTTTATATCGTGAATCAGAGCTTATTGGAGAGAATCATCTTGGTATATATCTTCTACACCTGTTTCAGTAAAAGCATTTTTATTTCTTACTGTGGATGATGATTTTTTTCCTATTTCTCTCTGTAATAATTTGTGTACAGGGGTGAGGAATGCTGCCCAAAGGAAGCTTTTGGATGAGCTCGGTATTCCTGCTGAAGATGTTCTCGTTGATCAGTTCACCCCACTGGGTCGCATGCTCTACAAGTCACCTTCTGATGGCAAATGGGGCGAGCATGAACGTAATACTTCCCCTCTGTCTGCATAACATTCAGCACCAAGTTCTTTTTTAACTGCAGAATAAAGTTTTGAAATCTGCTTCAAGGGGAAAGCTATTACTGTGTACAAATTATACATTTCAATAGATGGCTGGTGTTATAATTGTTTCACATCTATTACTTGGCCTGATTTTGTGAATATTGAATGAACCTATTCATCATGCTGCAGTTGATTACCTCCTATTCATTGTCCGAGATGTTAATGTTCACCCAAATCCGGATGAGGTAGCAGATGCAAAATACGTGAACCGTGAACAACTGAAGGAGTTACTGCAGAAAGCCGATGCTGGTGAAGTGAAACTGTCGCCGTGGTTCAGACTTGTGGTGGAAAATTTCTTGTTCAAGTGGTGGGATCATGTTGAGAAAGGGAGCCTGAAGGAAGTAAGTGACATGGAAACCATTCACAAGTTGTAGATTAGAAACAAAGGACATGAAATAAAGTGTGAGAATGGTACTCTTCTAGAAACAAGTTTAATTCCAATAAAAGCAGGCTTTAAGTAATTCTAAACTTGCTGGTTTTCTCAATATTTGTTACACCAATGTTGTTGCTAAATTTTGAGTTAAATGTTGTAAACTTACGAGGGCATGCATCTTAGATTTGGATTTCAATAAGAGTTTATTTCATGATATGCATGGTCTGGCACCTTCTTTGTTAAATTGTTAAGGGGTCAGAAATGGCAAAAGTCGGGCTATTTAATGGATAGGGATGGTAACGGGGTGGTTCTTTTGCTCGAGTTTTATGCCTTTCACCCCGACTCGGACCTGATTGTCTCGAATTATTATATTAATCATTACTATAAACTAAACAACCTATTTCATTATTTACTTATCCTCACATTTTTATTTTGTTCATCCAATTATCTTTTAAAATCATATTTAAGATTTTGTTTCTGTTTTGATCTTTCGTCGTTAGATTTGATTTAACGAAAATTGTAACATGACATGATATAATAACAATTTTAGTTTTAAAAATTTATATATTTTATCAAGTTGATCATAATTCAAAATGATTCTATCAAATTCGTACAATTTAGTTCTTATTTTAGTTTAAAATAGTATATATTTCATTATTTAAAATATTATATTAATAATTTCTCTATTTCTTTTTATATATCACTTAAATAATTAAGTGTTTACTTTACGAATGTGCATGGAATTAATATATGATTATATAAAAATCTATACAGAATTATAGTAAGATTGAGTTAAAAGTCAGAAAGACAACAAATGTTTTATAGATGCATTTATGAAGGAGTGGATCAGAAACCATAGGAAAAATAAAATAAATGTCAAATATAGGTAAAATGAAAACGGGAAACTGAGAACAAAATCTTGAAACCTTAAACAAGTTCATATTAACAAAAAAAAAAAAAAAAACAGCTCGACTAAAACTTACTTGGATTGGTTCTATCTAAATTAATGGTTCACAAATTCTTTACCAATAGTGGCTATTAAAAATACCCCTCAACACTACCGAAAAAGGTAAGGAAACCCTCACTATCCCTATATCATTTTCTTCATGCATATGATCGATTATATTCAATACAAAAATATCGATTTTAATTTTTTGTCAAAATCAGAAAAGGTACGCCATCAACGGTCGATGAGATAAATTTATTGTTATCAACAAATCTAACAATTTCTTTGATAATAATTTCATTCCAACTCTATTTGGGATCATTTATTACAATACATTTTTTATAATAAAATATTTTTAAGTCGCAAAATGTAATACATATTAAATTTGGATCTTTAATCTCATGAATATTCTACGAAAAAAAATCCACCATTACAAAACCCTAAAGACGCCAACAAGCTGAAACGATCTATTTTACATCACACTTTCCATATCTGCCGTTATTTTGCATTTTTTTTCTCAAAAATCCCACGGCCGTGGGCGGAAAGCAAGGCGGGTCCTCCATGGCATCATTGCTCGAATCATGCAAACTCATAGACCAAAGCTCCTCAGCTCTATCCACCGTTGCCGTGGCAGTTGCCGCCCTCTCCTGCGAGGCCGCAAGGGCTAACTTAGCCGCTTTCGACTTGACCGATTCCGGCGATGGGTCCGTCGCCAAAGACGACATCGGAGTTTCTAGCGACATCAAAGTCTTACTTAATGGTTCCAAATTGGCAGTGAGTTCTAATAAAGGTGATGACAAAGTTAACACAAATTCGTTTTCTGAGATACCTGTTGTTTATGGAAATGTGAGGGAAGCGGTTAAGAGCTTGCATTCTGTTATTCGGGTGGTGTCGAATCCGGGGGAGAAGTTAGGGGGAAAAGTCTTACATTTATGCTTTGAGTTGAGGAATTTAGGGGAGAGTAGTTTGGAAAGAGTGAGATTGAATTTGGGTACAATTACCGTCGAGGGTTTAAAGGGTATTTTTGAAAAGGATTGTTTGAGTGAGGAAGGTCTGCGGAATGGAGTCAAACTGGCTGTGGACGCGGAGCTGGAGAAAGATCGTTTGAAGTTGGCGAAGGACGTGGATTTGGTTTTAGGGATTGTGTGGAAAATTGTTGCATGGGAGGCTGTCACTTCATTTTTTGTGCTCGAAGGTGTTGAGGCTTTGAATGAGAAGAATGGTCGAAAAGGAGAGGCTGATGGAGGGAATGTGAAATCTGAAAAGAAGAAGAAGAAGAAGAAGAAGGTTTTGCTGGGGAGGGGAACTAGTTTTATTGTGGAGATGATTAAGGAGAGGTTGACGAGTAAGGGGGACGGTTTAGAGAAAGTAGTGGAGGAGTTTTTATCGTTTTTAGATCCAAAAAGTCCAGATTTTGATGGTTTGTTGAAGAAGGTGAAGGAGATTTTGGAGAGCAATGAAAGTAGAAGAATCCCCAAGACCCCGAAGGTAAAAAGCTGAACCATGATTCTGGTTTCCTATTAGCTTTAGTCATAATTTGTTGAAAATATTGTCTAAAAAGCTAAAACTAGGAAGTAGGTCAGTGCTTCTTGGTTGGTTTCTCGTCATTGATATTATAAACATTAAGAAAAGAAAAGAAAAAAAGAGTCTACATCATTTACTGCTATAATCTTATGCCTTACTCTTCAGTAGTGTGTTGTAAGTTTCTTAAATTTTTGTAGGGTACTCGGGATTTTGCAAAAGAGCAAATGATGATAAGAAAGAAAGCATTTTCTATTATAACAAAGGTTTTTGAGAGGCATTGTGCCACTGCCCTGGATACACCTGCTTTTGAATTGAAGGAGACCCTTACCGGAAAATATGGGGAGGATTCAAAGTTGATTTATGATCTTGCAGACCAGGTTAGTAAAAACTTGTCCATTAGAATGAAGTCATATTTTCTTGTGTATTTTCTTTTTATTTAGATTTTTTTTCTGATCAGCAACCTAGAAATTTGTTTATTATGGCTGATTTATCAAGAGAAGCGACATGTATGATTTATTAAGTTTTATCTCCAACTTTTTGTTATATTTGTTTACAGGGTGGAGAGCTTTGTTCTCTACGGTATGACTTAACAGTTCCATTTTCTCGGTATGTGGCCATGAACGGTCTCACATCATTTAAAAGGTACCACATAGATAAAGTTTGGAGAAGGGATAACCCATCTAAAGGGAGATATCGAGAATTTTATCAATGTGATTTTGATATTGCTGGTCAATATGAGAAGATGGGACCAGACTTTGAGGTTGTAAGAATTTTGTCTGAAGTACTCAATGCACTAAACATTGGGGATTATGAGGTAAATTGTCATTTTCTTTTCTCAATGCTTGATTTGCTTTCGAAATTGATTAATTTCATTTTTATCTGCTTTTGACAGATAAAATTGAATCACCGGAAGTTACTTGATGGAATGCTGGACATATGTGGCGTGTCACCAGCAAAATTTAGAACTATTTGTTCTAGCATTGACAAGCTAGACAAACAATCCTTTGAACAAGTTAAAAAGGAAATGGTGAGGATTGAAGCCTCAAAATCATTGTGCCTCTATCTAGTAGCTCTAGCAAAAACGGTTTAAATATCACTGTTCAATTATTTATCATGACATGTGAACTTATATAGTACTTAACCGTTCCTTTTATTCTTTTTATTTTGTGGATAAATGACTTCTGTTGCATCTTTTGATTTTTTAGTTAGTATTGTCTTAAATGTTACCATCTTTCAATTTGAATCATTATGTTCAATTGATACTTGCTAGGTGGAAGAAAAGGGTTTATCTGTTGAGACAGCTGATAAAATTGGCACTTTTGTGAAGATAAGAGGACCTCCTCTGGAATTATTGTCCAAGATTATGGGAGGAACCGAGGGTAGTGAGCTTCTTAAACACAATGCTTCCAAAGAGGCATTAGGTGACTTGTCACTTTTATTTGATGCTTTGGATAAATCCAGGTGCATAGACAAAGTGGTATTTGATTTGAGTCTTGCCAGAGGTCTTGATTATTATACTGGAGTCATATTTGAAGCTGCTTTCAAAGGAGGTGTGAAGGTAAATATTTTTCTGCCTGGAGGTTATGAATATTATGAACATCTATCTTTTATGTGAATTCTGTAGCTTTTTTTTTTTAAGTAACTACATGCTTAAGAGCTTTATGGTGGGACTATTTATAATAATCAAGTTTGAACTTTTATGTGAACATTCAACCATCAAGAGAGGTGAAAAAAATGCTTTTCTAACTAGAAATTCTTCTTTCTTTTTACTTTGGAAATCAAGATAATTCTTTTAGATCTTCCCCCTTCTCTCCTTCCTAACCTAGGGTGATAGAGATTCTACTCTTCTTTTCTATTCCACTTTAAGGGTATAAAACTGCATAGATACTGTAATACATGCATGTGTGCGAGTCCAACCTAGGCTTTAAAGCTCATGGAAAATAAAACCTACAAATAGGGTCCTCAAAATAAAGAAACAGAAGTCATTGAGTACTTCCATTTCCTAGATTTTCTCTGGAGTAGACATTTTCCCAAAACTTGCCAGAATGTTTCCATCATTTGACCCTCTGAACAGGTAACTTTTAACTGAAATGTTATGGAAAGACAAGCAAGTTGATGATATGATATCATCACACTGCAGCACCATGCATCCTTAAAATATGATACCAGCATTAATTATTGCAATGGCATACTTCTGTTTTGTTAGTAGTTTAGTTGCCCCTTGCTGATATGATTGACTTATTTGTCAGGTTGGTTCAATTGGAGCTGGTGGACGTTATGACAATCTGATCGGAAATTTTGGCACGAAGCAGGTTCCTGCTGTTGGTATGAGTCTTGGAATTGAGCGAGTATTGACTATAATGGAAGAGAAAGCACAGAACCAGGTGATCTTCATTCGTAACATATTTAAGATATATCTGAATCTATCCTGTTATCTTGTCATTTCTTTCAACTATTTGAACAGCTCTTGATGAATCTGATGTCTTGCTGATTTGAGATAGTGCTAAAAAATTGTTTTTAGTTCTATGAATTTTTAGTTTGCACAGTCTACTCGGAATTTGTGTTCCCCTTGGCCTTTATCATACGATGGACAAATTTGTTAAGACTTTTATGTTAAGACTGTCTCTTCCTACTGTCTCTGCCTTTCAGCATTTTCTTTAAGTTGGACACATATCTGACTGACATTTTCTCTCGAGCCCAAGTAACATAGATGATTATAGTAACTATTTTAATTTCTACTGTTGCTCCACATTTTTATGCGATGTATTAATGTTTCTCTCGGGGTGGCATTTGCAGGCAGTCCGAGCCACGGAAACCCAAGTATTGGTGGGTGTTCTGGGGGATAAACTCTCTGTAGCAGCAGAGCTGGTGAGCGAGCTTTGGGACATAGACATCAAAGCAGAATACAAGGTTCATAAGAAGGTGATGAAGCACATTGAATATGCAATAGATTCAAAGATCCCTTGGCTGATCTTTGTAGGCGAGCGAGAGCTGAATGAAGGGATTGTAAAATTGAAGAACATTGAAAGCACGAACGAGGAAGTAATTCCCAGAAGTAAACTTGTTGAGGAACTACAGAAGCGATTGAACCCATGAAAAGGGGTCTGTTTGCCCACATCATTGGATTTGGAAGTCAAATGCTTCTATTCTCACACGGGTAGATTGTCAATCTTTGTCTGAACACACAAATTACTTTAGGAATTGTTGTATTTTGGAAATAGATTTGGCAATGCCGCGTTTTATGCTCTTTAAAACACATTATATACTTGAGGTGTTATATATTTTATTTAAATTTTGCAACATTAATAATTCTTCTCATATAGGCTCTTGGGACAATTGTGTTTTGTGCTATGATTGCCGTATTTCTTGTGCTTTTATTTTTCTAGTATTGTGCTCGAGACATGAAAGAAAATAATTTATTTTAAAAATTATCTTTATAAAAAATTGTTCAATAAGTTGTTGAATTTGTAGTAGTAAAGAATTTATATAAATGTCTGAGAATATATAAATATTTTTATAATAATATTAGGTTTTGTTACATTTGATTAACTTGTTATATTAATTCAGCCAAGGATTTTATACAAAAGTCTCGTAAAATAACTAAAAATTGAGTTCTTAATAAAAATTCTAAATCGATTGGGTTCTTAGTAAAAATTAGGGTTGATGGTTAGCTCGAGTTGAGTCAATTTTTTTTTAGTTATTTGAGTTGACGGTTTTAATTTTGTTACTTAAATTTTATTTGATATTTTTTTGGGTAGTCTAGTTGTTGGAGTTTCTGATTAAAACTAATTATAAATATTTATAATATTATGGTATTACTTGATCCCAATTTAAACAATTTTCTATAACTATATATATATTCATATTTTTCCATATGTATTATATACAAAGTTGAGAGAATAGAATTTGAAAATCAATCCATCAACTATTATAAATTTTGAGTTATTTGAGTTGTTATTTCAGTTTTATTTTATAATTTGATTTGAATTTGAATTTTTTTAGTTAAGTCTGATTTATAAAATTATTATTCGAGTCAATTCAAATCGAGTAAAAAAAATCGATTTTTCGAGTCAGTCAAATTTTGATTACCCCTAAATAAAATCATAATTTATAATTTTGATACAAAGTAGTGTATGACATCCAACAAATATAATGTTGTGGTGGAGGTCCACAGTCAACTTGGTTATGTAATAGCCTACAACTACAGTGCTGAGTGCTGTTATTGGTCTGCTTCGTGAGATTGGTAATGTAGAGGATCAATCGGAGTGGTAACTGCACAACTTATGACTCATGTCATTGCTTATTTGGAGTGAATAAAATTTAAGAACAGAAAAGAGAGTTTAGAAAATCACATCTTAAGAGAAAATCTTTGCAAAAAAAAAAAAATTATTGCAAGAACCTGGTGTTCCAACAAGAAGGAAATGGTTGCCATTTATTGGCAAGCCTTGGGATACATGACAAACTATCACTAATGCTAACAAGACAAAATAAAGTATAACAAAAACAAACTAGAGGAATATTGTTTCTCCATTTTATATGAACATATATGTGTATTATATCCAAAGAGGACTAGTTAGTCTATATATATTTTCTAAGAATTTTTGCACGTACAATCTCCTTTAATGCAATTAAGAAGAAATTTTCCACCATTTACAGGAAACGTACCCATGAACACATGCATAAAAGCCATGCACTCTACGAGCTGAGCTAAAACGACTAACACTAAGAATATAGATTTGGCACATATTATAAATATTTTTTCTTATAAGTAATCTATAAACCACAGTTTACAATATAAACTAATATTTCTCAAACTAGCTTTAAATACAAGTGCTTTGTTGTTGATGTTTTCAAAAGAAACTTTTAGTACAAGTATTTTTGAGATTAAATGAAGTAAAGGAAAAGTTTGAAAAATAAATTTTAGAATAAAAGATACTTCTCAAATTTCAGAAATGTTAAAAGAATAGCTTTTATGTTTTATCCTCTTACTTTATGACATATTTTTTCAAAAAACAATTTAACTTTTTTTTTTCGAACATCAATTCTATATTCTTCATTTATTTTTCATAATATTTTGTAAACAATGTCAAATGATTTCAATAAACATACCATAATATTAAAAACATATTTATACGGCTCTTTCTGAAAACACTTCTTTTAAATGCACATATCAACAACACATTTAACTTGAAAAATAAAGAAGAAACAAACCTAAATAACCATAAAAAAAACCTTTTACCACTTAAGATAAGTTATGCTGTCCTCTTGTATTGGTAACATCAATAAAACAAAAAAAGAATTCTACATGTTAACATGCACTACACTTTCAAGCCTTTACTACCGCACTAAAGAAATATAAAAAATAAAAAACTTATCACCCGTTGCCCTTTCGACTACGTATATCTATGAGAACCAAATCTAAGAGCACAAGGTTAAAAAATCATGCACTCTACCAACTTGGTTAAGAAAACTAAAAATTTTACAAGTTTGCTATAGTGTAACAATTTTAACCTGTACACACATATTTTCTTTAACGAGGAATACACCTTCAACCTCCGTCGTATGTGAGAATTGAACCCATGACCACATGGTTAAAAGTCGTGCACTCTACCAGCTGAGCTAAGGCGGCTATAAATTAAGGAATAGATTGGGCACATACTATAATTATTTTTCCTTATAAGTACTCTATAAAGTATAATTTGGAATATGAGAAACAAGTGAACTAATATTTCTCAAACTAGCTTCAATTACAAATGCTTTGTTTTCTTAAAAGAAACCACTTTTGGGATTAAATGAAGTAAAGAAAAATGTTGAAATATAAATTTTCGAATAAAAGATATTTCTCAAATAATATCTCAGAAATGTTCAAAGAATAGTTTTTTTTTATGTTTTATCCTCTTACTTTATGACATATTTTTCTAAAAACCATTCATTTTTTTTATTTTTTACTTTTGAACAAAAATCTTATATTCCACATTTTATTCTTCATAATACTTTCTAAACAGTGTCAAACGGTTTCAATTAACATACCATAAGGTTTGAAAACATATTTTTACGACTCTTTCTATAAACACTTCTTTTAAATGCACATATCGACAACACTTTTAAATAAAAAAGAAAGAAGAAATAAACCTAAATAACCATTAAAAAAAATTGTACCACTTAACAGAAGTTATGCTTTCAACATGCAATAATAACAGTTATAAAATAAAAAAAGTATTTTACATTTTAATATGAGCTACACTTTCAACCTCTTACTATCGCACCAGAAAAATATAAAAAATAAACAACTTATCAATAGTTTTCCTTTCGACTAGGTATCTATGAGAACCAAATCTTAAAGCACAATATTAAAAGTCATGCATCCTACCAACTTGGTTAAGAAAATTAAAAAGATCACTATTGCAGTATAACCATTTTAACTTAAACAATAATACACATTCTTTTTTCTTGATGAAATAACGAGGGGAGCTAGCACTCAATGCTCTTCTGTCAAATTACAAGCACGTGAGTCCTGTTGTAACAAGCTAAGCACTTCCAATGGTGGAGAATAGAAAACCGTATGATCCGAGCCTCTTGCTATGGTTAAATTGGCTAGTTTATCGACCACCTTATTCGTATCCCGATTTATATGCCTCAAAGTAACCGTCCATTCCTGCTTTAATAACTCACTAACCCGGTCGAGCAAAGTAAAAATTGATCATTTATTAGCATTTCCTTTTAGCATCCGAATGACCTCCAAGTTGTCCGCTTCAACCATAATTTGTCTTTCGCCAAGATTCCACGCATGCGATAAACCTTCATGTATTCCCCATAACTCCGCTTCAACAATAGTGCATATACCTAGTACTTTAGAGAAACCAAGAATCCATCCACCGTTCGATGAACGAATAACACCCCCACATGTAGCAAATCCATTTCCTAATTTACTGGATCCATCAGTGTTTACCTTGCACCAATTAGTAGGAGGTGGAGTCCAATGATTAGGCACACTAATCCCTTGATACGAATGCGGACTCATTTGCAACTTTGTTTCAATTGCTCGCTTAACCTCAAGACAAATACGCCTACCTTGCACTAATACCGACTCTTGTTCGATGTAATCCGGATCGAAAACTCTCCTATTACGGTTCTTCCAAATCAACCAAAGTATCGAACTGAAAAGTAAATCCCATTCACAGTCATTCCGTGCATAGGTTCCCGGATTAGCAATATTAATATGCAATCAATCTCTTATATCACTGGACAAAAAATCATCTACTTTTTCAGCTTTAACTAGCATTATCCAAACAGCCAAGGCCACATGACATGTTCGAAATAAACGATCTATTGTTTCCCCTTGCTGCCCGCAAACTCCACAGCAGTTGGTTGATGTTAAATGTCGTCTGACTCGTTCCGTATTGGTTAATAAACGTTCATTAGATACTAACCACAAAAAGACTTTAATCCATTACAGCCCTCTATATTTCGAAATCACTTTCCAAACTTTATGTGGACTAGCATCCGGAGTTACCTGTCTCATGTCATACACTGACTTAACCGAAAAGTAGCGATCAGCTGTCCATTTCCAGCCTAACGCATTGCTCTTATTGCCTTGACGTGGTGGCATTGTTGCTGCAAGCCGCTGTTAAATACTGCTCGGTGCTAAGTTAGATATCAACTCTCATCGCCATTAGCCATCAGTATCAACCATAGAAGCCACCGTCCTCCTTGGCAGTGCGATTTTCTCAACTTGATTATCTACAAGCGTATTTAAAGGCCCCACATCACTAAGCCAATGATCCCCCCAAAAATCCACCCTACACCCGTTACCAATATTCCAAACCAAACTCTGTCGCACCTCACTCCATACGTGAGAGATTCCTTTCCAAACATGCGAGCTTCTCTTGTTGTCAATTGATTCGGGTAAATCATTCCTCCACCTATACTTGGATCGCAAAACTTTAATCCACAGTTGGTTGGAATTTGTTGCCAATTTAAATGCTAATTTCATAAGAAAAGAATTATTTTGATCGATTAGCTTCATCATGCCAAGACCACCATTGCTTATCGGTTTACAAACGTTCTCCCAATTAAAAAGAGATATGTTATTTCTAGCCTCAGTACGACCCCAGATAAAACCTCGGATTATTCATTCTATCTCATCGTAAATCCCTTTCGGAAGCTTCATAGATTGCATTGAATAGAAAGGGATAGTTGATATTACTGCTTTAGCCAAAGTAATCCTCCCGGCCAAAAATAAAGATTTCGCTTTCCATCATGTGAGTTTATCTCGGACTCTCAAAATTATGTGGCTAAACGAAGGTCTCGTAACCCAATAGTGAAGCAGAGGTATTCCGAGGTACTTTCCCAAGTTTTAAACTTCCTGGAATCCAAACAATGAGCTAATTGAATTCTTCAAACCCGAATCCACGTTCTTAGAGTAAAAAATAGTTGTTTTTTGCATGTTTATTTTCTGACCCGAGAACCTGCAGAAGAGATCTAGAATGCTCTTTATCACAGAACATTGCTCAATAGACGCCTCAGCAAACAATACCAAGTCATCCGCGAAAAATATATGGGAAAGGTCAGGACCACTGCGACACAGTCAGATAGGTTTCCACTGTCCATTCCTGACAGTTATATTGATTGCATGGGTCAACCTCTCCACGCACATACCGAACAAATAAGGCGATAAAGGATCAACCTGGCATAGCCCCCTAGTTGGCTTAAAGGATTCAGACATAGAACCATTCCAAAGTACCTGCTTCGAGACAAAAGATACACATCTCATGATAAGTCTCCTAAGATTCTCTAGAATATGCAACTCTCTTAGTGTGTCCTCAATGAATAACCACTCAATGCGGTCATAGGCTTTCTCAAGATCGATCTTAATAGCCATAAAGCTGACCTTACCTTTCTTCAATCGCATGGAGTGAATTACCTCTTGCGCTACAATAAAATTATCCATGATCGATCGTTCAGGAACAAAGCTTGTTTGGTTTTCTGATATCCAGTATTTCATCAAGGATTTCAGCATGTTCACAATTATCTTCGTAACAAGTTTGTATAACACAGAGCACAAACTAATAGGTCGATACTGACTGAAAGATTCGGGAACTTTAACTTTAGGAATTAGAACCAGGAGTGTTCGATTGATTTCCTTATCGAAAGCTTCGCCTGCAACAATACTTTAAATCAACTGACATACGCTGGTGCTCACCATATCCCAATTCCGCTGGAAGAAAATCGCATATAGTTCATCCACTCCCGGAGCTTTTAATGGACTCATACTAAATAAGACTTCGCAGATCTCTTCATTAAGTAGCGATCATATGAGTCCATTCAATTCAAAATTAGAAGGAACAGGAAAACATCCCTGAAACGGATACCCATTATCAACTTCATTATTAATAGAGAATAATTCCTTATAGAAATTCACTACCATCAAGCAAAGAGTGGCATGTTCCGACACCCAGTTACCATTCGTATCCTTAAGCGCCCCCACATGATTATACCTACGTATCATCATCGTACAAGCGTGGAAATATTTAGTGTTTTTGTAACCATGAGGAACCCATTGAGTTCTCGATTTTTGTAGCCAAAAAATTTCCTCTTGTTGAAGAACTTGTTCTAATTCATATTCAAGCACGTGTTGCAAATCCACCAAGCGTTGCGAATATCGAGTAATAAGCGCTCTATCTATACCCCGTAACCGGGCCAATAGTTCGCGCTTTGTCCTCCCTATGTGTCCAAACACATTCAAATTCCATTCATTATCTTTACTTTGGAAGGAATTGACATTAGTTAACGCTTCCAAATCATTCCTCCAAACTTCCGACAAAAAATCTTTGAATTGAGGGTGGTCCTACCATGCCACAATAAAGAGAAATGGCCTAGTCGACTGAAAACTCATGTTACTCTGAGGTTTTAGCACAAGAGGGCAATGGTTCGAACCCACTATATCAAGATGTAACACTTTCGTACCAAGAAAAACATTAGCCCAACAATTATTCATAAGGCAACGATCTAGACGTTTAAATAAATTACCTATTCTCCACGTAAATTGTGGCCCTTGATAATCCACCTCAAATAAACCCATCTCAAAAATAAAATCAGCAAACAATTGGCTAACTCTGAACCACGGCTTGAACCACCTTTCCTCTCGTCTGGCCGTAGAATGGAATTGAAGTAACCCCCAGCATCCACGCTTCATTTTCACCTGGAGTAAGTTCCGTGAGGTGCTTCCAAATATGTTTCCGCTTCTCTACTTGCGGGCTAGTGTAAATAACAGTAAAATACAACCATCTAACTTCATTATCCGACCAGCATCTACCATGAATAAATTGGTTTGAAATGGTTAAAATCTCCACGTCTAGCACGTCTTTCCAAAGAATCCAAATACCACCACTAAACCCATGTGCTTCAACTCTAAAAGAATTCTGAAATCCCAATCTCCGGATGACTTTATCAGCATTAATACCACTAATTTGAGTTTCCAACAACGTTACTAGTTCAGGTCGACTCTCCCGACAATGTTCTCGTAAATAACGTTTGAATTTAGGGCTTCCAGCGCACTGACAATTCCAAATAAGAAAATTAACCATAAAGATATCTAAGTGCGGAAGCCCCAATTATTGAGGGAAATTCGGATTGATATTCTCCCTCTCGAGAGAAATATCTTCTTCAGGTACTGTACCCAGAGACTCCATTGCATGCGAGAGTGTTTCCTCATGTTCGTTTTCAAGTTGAACTGACGAGCCCTCATCATGCAGTGTAACCTTGTCATGTTTCAAATTAACCTTAGCATTCTTCAGCCAATCCGTAAGCACTGCCGGGGAGAAGCTAAAATCTTTGTTCTTCCTCACTTTAAGTCCTTTATTACCTTCCCCCCACTTCTCTTCGACTAATCTTTCCACGGTTACTCCTCTTAATGATATTGTTCCTGTTATCATCCGAGATTGTAACCACTGAATGACTCCCACCAACTGTAACATGTCAACTTTGCGTAACCTGCGGAATCGCGCCTTCCTCCATTGCTATCACACTTATCTGTTTAAAAGCTCGACTATCCCCAACATCCTCTTTCCTGTTTGTATTTGTTCGCCTGCCAGAATTGGCCTCCAATGGTACATTATCCGTAACGGCTTTCCCTTTCGCCTGATGCTCCTTCCGAGAAGCGTAAACCTCACCATTTATAAAAATGTATTTAATTCTTATTTTAACTTTTAAGTAATGTTTTTAAAATATCTTAACTTAAAATATATTTTATTTCTAAGTTAAAATAAATTTTGAAGTTAAGATATTTTAAAAATGTATTTTAAAAGTTAAGATAATAATAGAATATATTTTTAAGTTATATTAAGAATAAAATATTTTTTAATTAAACATATATTTTTATATTAAAATAAAATTAAAATATATTTAATAAGTTAAGAATATATATATATATATATATAAAATTATTAATTTTAAGTAAAGTATTTACATACTAAAATATTAGATATATATTATTTATTGTCTAACTTATATCCAATGGTTGCCTTGGTTTATTAATTTGGTGCTTGCTTATCATCCCATAGGTTCTTGGTTTGAATCCCCCCCTTCTTATGTGTGGACTTATTTTCTTTCAAAAAGAGGACAACACATTCACTCTCAAATTGGAGAAAAATAAATTTGTTAAATTAAAATAAATATAATTTTCCAAACGAATAACACATGAAACCTCCTAATTTAATGATTAAATTTATTTTAATTTATTAATATTAGGATCGGATTGAATGAATATATAAGTAGCATAGACCAATTGTGTAATTATCAAATTGAAAAGTCGTTGGTCAAAAGGAAAATGAGCAATAATTTAACTATCACCCGTGCAGTTTGCCCTTTCGTTTCATACAACCCCCTGGCACCATAACTAAGTGCAACATTATCCTATACATAAATTACCATACTTGGCTTCAATTCTTTGACAGACTGCAGCAATGCTTTTAATTAAAATATACCAGAAGGGAATAAACTGAGAAAAAAAAGTTTGTTGAAGTTACTCCAACGCATAGAAATCATCTGGTTTGCTTACCGCCGCCAAAACGATGCAAGAATACAAGCAGGATGTAGTGCTCGAAGCATTAACTAACAAACAATGTGAAAGCTGAGAAATTGCAGATAATAATGAAGAATACCCACTGCTATAAAAGCATCCATCATTTTGGTTTCCTACAGTTACCAAATTTCGGTTATACGAAGGCTACTACGTGTGGTTCGTGAATATCATTGTGTTCCTAATTTCAGAGCAGCTTTGTGAACCATGGTTTCTTTGTGTATTTGGTGGCAGCTCTTCTCGACAAGATCGAGAAGTTTTTCCAAGTTCCCAGACCACGAGTTGAGAATTTCATTGCTATCTTTTGCTACCTGGAAGCACACTATTCCCATTGGTCGGTCAATCTTTGCCACCAATGCCTTGGATACAACCATTTCGGAAAGATACTTCTCAGCTTCCTGGATTGAAAAAATCACTAATTAGCATGGATATAACATTGTGGAATGTGGATCTTCTTTGTTTTATATTTTCAGTCTTAGGTACCTACCGACAAGATTTCCAGTGGGAAAAAAAAAAGAAGCAAACCTGGACAGTGAGACACAACAACTCTGCAAGTCTCTTCACTGTAATCCTTGAATAGTACTTTGAAACAACAAGGATATTCTGAAAAACATAGAATTGGTTTCCAGTGAGAAATGGATAAGTTAAAAGAGAGAAAAGAAATTTATGACAAGAGAGCGGCAAATTTACATGCTCAATAATTCTCATTCTCAAATCTTCTGCAGCTTTGTCACCCAAAGAGCCCCCAAGCATGTTCTTCTCATTCTCAAATTCATCCCTATATAAATTCCACAAGGATGTCCACTGGATAACCTCCATTGTAACCAACTGTTTCAACAGCAACCTGTAACAGAAGATGAAACAAAAACACTCATCAGTTATAAAATATTTAAAAACAACCCACCTAGAGCTTGAAACATTCATGAGTTCTAAACTCATCAAGGGCATACTTAAATTTTGGAATCTCAGAAAGATTCTTATCCTCCAATGTTAAATTAAGAAGGCTTGACTGCATTGGTTCATGTGGGGCAAGGATCAAGTACCAACAGATTTTTCTCAATACCTGCAAGTAAAACTATATACATGAGAACAGCTAAACGGAACTTGGAAAGGAGATATAGCAAGATGTGCTTTACCGGTATCCACTGAGATGGATCTTCCCTGATGGATGGGATATCGTATATTGCCTTATAGCAACGGCAAATTTCAAGGTAGTCATTGTTATGAAAATAATACCTACAGATAATAAAGAAATGTCATAAGATAAATCCACCCACATAGCAGCAAAGAAGATAATTCATGAAATTCAACTTTGTAGTTGGTTGGGTCTTTACAGTGATGTAAGAGAGAAAAGAAGCCAAATACCGTATCATCAGTTCATAGTAGATACGCTTCAACTCCAATAGTGAAGGTATATCAGCAGGAGGCTCTTCTACAACACTGTCACCTTCCTTGGGTTTCTTCTCCTTAGAGGTATCAACATCAAATACTCTAGGACTAATCTTCCTTGACAGAATTTGAGCACGAACATAATCTTGGCGATCTAAGCAAAGGCGAACCTGAAAAGTTTAATCATTGACAAATTGACACAATTAATATTGCAATCTTAGTATAAAAGAAGAAATAATATTAAAAACACTTGAGGGCCATGATCAAAATAAGATGCTCATACTTGTTCAAGAATGAAGGCAATTTTCTCAGTTTTTGCCATGGCACCAAAAGTTTCTACCTGCAGACCAAACCAATCAAAAATTAGAAAAGGGGGATAAATAGAAAAGAATCCATCATCTTATTACAAAGGAAACTTACTGCAACTTCCTGAATTAAATCTGCAGCTTCAGCAATAAGGCCCTGTTCCTCTTTAATCTTTGCAAGTCTCCTGATCAATCTTGCTCTCTCAATTTCAACAAAAATCTACAGAGGAAAGAAATTTATTTAGACAAAAAATGTTGAACATTAAACTAGTAACATCGGATAAAAAGAAAACTTAATGTCAGAGTCAGACGCATACCTTTCCAGCAGACACAGTGTTCAGGGTCTTGATAAGCTCTATACGAGTTTCAAGATCTGGTGTCTGATCAATGTATTGCATTGCTTGCTGAACCATTGCAGTCACTGCCTGCGGATCGCAGATAAATAAACAGTTCTTTTAAGTGATCATATCGGCTAATCATAACCTCCAGCAAAATGTTCTGATAATAGGTAGAAGATTTTAGCAAGGATATGAAAAATTTAAACCAAGTAGCTGTTGCCTTTCTCACAAAAGTAGTCTACAAATCTAAAAGGACTAAAAACTAAACCAAGGGGCTCGATAACGAGGATAAGATCAGAACGTCACTCAACAATTTGGTTCAGTTAAGCCTTTTCATCTATCATTAGATTTTACTCATGGTTCTAACTTCGAAAGGAACAAACATTAAAATATAAGCTCTAATTCTGATTAACATGAGTAGAATAGAATCATAAATTTAAACACAGGGCAAGAATGAACTTCAGCTAAATTTAACTACGAAATTCTAAACATTTTAATAAACCCACATCTGAAATAGCAATTATAACTACCATATACGTACAAGTCCCCTAAAAATACACAGAATAGATGCACGCCCACTTGCAAATAAGCGAATAATACTCAGCCCACAATGGTACATAAAGCCTAAATATCCGAACACAAAGGAGCAACACAATAATTGAATACAGTAAAAGGAAAACACTAAAAAAAACTTGTTACCTGCTTAAGCTGACCCCGTTTCTTAGACAAATTAATGATCTGTTCATTGAGAGATTTCCAATCCTTAGCTTCAAAGCAAAGCTGCAAAATCTCAGTGACGGCTTTCTTCGTAGCGGCCACATCGCCAGCCAATCGCATCTGCTTTTCAACATTAAGAAGCTGATCAATCGCTGCCTCCAGATTCACATTTTTACCCTCCTGCAAAATTCCCCTAAAAAAATCAGTGAGGATTAAAGAATCATAGGAAATGAATATTTCAGATCTGAAATGAGAAAAGGAAAACTATAATTAATTTTAAAAAAGATGAAGTTCTACCATAGCTTCAGCATTCAGATATCAAAACCTAGCAGAGCAAAGAAGAAAAGACAATCTGGTGAAAGAAGAAACAAATAAGCCGTGTTTAAACCGGTTTCTGGTTTTCAAATTCAACAAAAACCGGTTTGTAGAGTTCAACTTTTTGTTCCTTTCTTTTTGCACAAGAAAAGGAGTAAAACAAACCAGCTCGTTAACCTTTTTTTGGGCCGGCCCAAGTCGAGGTGCAGCCATTTTAAATTTTTCTCAATACCTGCAACCAACATGCAGGATGATTCCTTTTATTATATGTTCATTCATTTTATAGTTTACTAAATATATATATATTTGGTTTATTATTTAAATATATGATTATTTGTATTTTATTAAAAAAATTATAAAACCTTTTAAATATTATTTATGAAAAAATAATTATTTTAGGTCACATAAATATACCTTCCAAAAACGATTTTTACAAGGTATGTCTCCTCTTTATATAGCATAATTGGTCAACAAAAAGACGAAGCGAGAAATACATTCTACAAAAAATTTTCTTCTTAGATTTCTCTATTTTCAATTTAGGTAATCGATTTAGGATTTTAAGGTTTGATGATTTAGGTTTTTAAATGAATGATTTTATATGGTTGTTTAGGATTTTTGTTTATTGAATTTTAAGAAGGGAAGAATGAAAGGTAGATTTTTTTTTTACATAACTCAGATACTCAACAATAATTGATGAAGATGAAAAAGAAGAAGAATGACACGTAGACTCTTTTTACATAACTCAACACTCTGCAATAATTGTGAACTTAGACTTCGGTTAATAGGTTAACTATCGTGAATTAAAGGTTGAGGGACTAAAATCAAACAAACAGATAATGTAAGGATAAAAAAACACTTGTTTTTAAAATTAATAACCAAAATTAGACGGGCCGAAAATATAAGGGACTAAAAGTTCTAGTTGTTAAAAATGTTGAAGAGACCTGGTTAAACCCGTAATAAAGATACTGCAGAGTGATGATATCATTGTTGTTTTGGCATTACTTTTCTTTACAGTTCATATTATGTCATAAATGGTTATCACACAGTTGGAAAGAGAAACAGGGATTGAAGTTTATTGTTGCTTTTTGAAAGATAATTGAGTGTGTGGAGGGAGATCATGTGCTTACAGTATTCATCGGATAATTGAGTGCCTGGAAAGAAGAGGTGTGATACACAGCGATCACCCCACAGGCTCCTCTGCAAAAAATAGGCCTACTGAGTTGTGGTGTAGCTGCGGGTATTGCTTGAATGAAAGTACTGAAATATTCAGTTTACACGAGTTTCTTCAGCTATATACATTCAGAGGTATTCACAAGAATCAGCACCGCAGTTTACTAAACTTGACAGTCAAGGCAACGGTGTTAGGTCTTGGTGCAGCTTAGAATATTGCTGATATATCTAAAGGATCAACAGGCTAATAAGCGAATATCCGGAGGAGGGACGGATTACTCCTTCGAGTGCATCGGCGATACCGGAATGGTAACAACCGCACTACAGTCGTTCTGTGACGTAATTTCTCGACTTATGATTTGCTGATTCTTCACTTTCTTAAAGAAGATTATATTCATCAAAACTGAAACTCACTGGTTGTTTGACATCCATCCATAGGGGATGGGGTTTAACAGAGCCTGAAATAGTCAGCATTTCTTTCGGGTAAAACATTGAAAGGGTCCCAGTTTGGAGGATGGAAACCTAAATATGATCTTCCTTCATTAACGGAAAATTTCACCTTTTAAATGACAGAAAATTTTCGATTTCAGGTTCTTTTTTAATCCAAATCAGCTGACTAACCGACTTTTTTAACGGAATTGGTTATTTGGACTAAGACATAGCATTAATAACAGTAGGAAGACCAAATTACAATACAGAAACCATAATTTAACCCCTTTTTTTAAGGGAAAAAAAAGAATCTTGATAAGAAAAGACAAGAATTAGGTGCTTTACCATAAACTTTGAGTTTCCATGGTTGTGAATATGTAGAATATATATATATATTGAACAAGTGAATCTGTAGAATATTGAGCAAACTTAAATGTGTGCAATATTTCATTACTGTTTTTACAGGAAATCCAGATTGATGAGTTCATCATACACAATCAGTTATTTGAAGATCTTAGTTTTAAAAGATATAAGATGCACCAATACGTAAAGAATCCCTGAAACATAGGTGTAAGGCGCGGTACGAAAGCACATATCTTTCATAGGCGCAACGTACCATTTATGCTGAAAAAATTTATAAACTAATTTTAGAGTATATCCACATCCATTAATCTCCCTTCCACACTATGTTCTTTCACCATTGCTTGTTCCCTCCTTAATTAAGAGTTAAATTCATTTCTACCATTTACAAAAGTTTAGTTTCCAAAACACTTTAATACAGAGTTAGACTTACACTATGATCAGGAACGTAGTCAGCATTAAATATTAACAGGGACCATAATATTAGTGTAACATCCCAAAAATACGGGTTAGTGACTAAATTGTAAAACTTCAGAATTTGGTGGCTAAAACAGAATAATTGAATAATATTGTTATTGGTATAGGGTTAAATTGCAATGAAGAAGGAATGGAAGGATAAAATGGTCATTTACATGGGAAATAATTAAAGAATAGATATATATATTAGCTCCACGTGGAAGAGAAGAAGGAAAAACAAGGTTCCAGAGTTCTCTTCTTCTCTTCTTTTCTCTCAAACGTAAAGAGGTCAAGCAAAGGTGAGATTTTTCATAAGCTGATTGTTAGTTAAAATTTAAGTTAGGGTTTGATTATTAGAAGATAACTAAGCTTAAGGAAAGCTTAGATTATCTTAAAACCCAAAGATGAGGAGTACATGAAAGATTAAAGAAAGGAAGTAGAAAAGTGAAATCTTGGAATAGAGTTCATAATAAGAATTAGAAGTGGGATTTGACTTGTCATCAAGCTAATTAAGGAATAGGAAGTGTTAGAATTAAAATTAGAACATGTTGAAATTTGAGTGAAATTCTTAAATTCTATATGGAGAATTGGATTTCTAAGTTTTAGAGGTATGGAATGGATAATAATTAGTTTAAATAAGAGTATGTAAGTTAGGGATATAAAAGAGGTGAAATATAAAGTGTTGAGAAGATTATAAAGAGATTTTCGTGCTTAAGATGACATTTCTGGGATTTGTGCATCGATGCACATTCAATGTGCACCGATGCATCAAGGATAAATCCCAGAAATTTGTTCAAGGTGTATCGATGCACATGAAGTGCATCGATGCACTCTTTTAAAATACAAACATCGAATGCAATTAGTGCATCGATGCACCTGCCTAAAATACAAACACCGAATAGGATTTATGCACAGATGCATAGATAGTGCATCGATGCACCCTTCAAGGGATGCATCGATGCATACCTTCATTAAAAGATAAAAATAACTTTCTTTTTAGCCTAAGGAGTGATAGTTTAGAATATATCAATTAGTATATTGATATGTATTAATGTATTACTATGTAGATTTAGAACGTAATATCGTTTCGGAACAATCGAAGGATTAGAATAGAGTCAAAGCAAGGCTAAGGTGAGTACATATTATAAATATGGTACAATGGAATAAGACTTGTGATAAGTCTAATTCATATGTTGATTTTCATAGCACCATAGTTATGAGTATACATACATGATAATTATTATGATGCATGCATAAAGTATATATGTTCATATGATTTGATACATGATATATGTGAATTGATTCAAATGCACATGTGACATAGTAAGTGAGATGAGTTATGTGATCACAAGAGACATGACATGGATACATGAACATATGAAACATAAGAATAATGCCCATGGTATACGATATGAGAGCTATAGGTATAGTTGGCATGCCAAGAGTCGAGGGTTCTACGTGGTTCTTCGGGACATATATGTATCATTTGGAACATTTACAGGGTCTTTTGAGACAGATTTGATCCACTGGAATATATATATGGTTCTTAAGGAGTGGTCCTTCGGGACAAATACAGTACATAGGTCCTTCGGGACAAATACAATACATAGGTCATTCGGGACAAACTTTCATAGCCCATAGTGGGACCTCATACGAACTGTGGTGACAGCAATAGTGCACAACCTCAATGTACTCGAATACTTTGAGTTCTCAAAAAGATACATGGGCTTATAAAGGTTATCAAAAGTAATTGCATTGTTATAGTTATATGTTACCATATTATTATTGCTTGCATTGAATTGCATATGACATGATGGAATGAATAGATTGCATGTTAATATTCATATGGAACGCATTTTTATTATATTTATATGTCTCAATAAGTCTATGAATTAGCGTGTAAGCGATTTACATGTAGGTACCAAGAATCAGGAAGAGCAGAAATAGGGTGGGAAGAACAACAGCACTGTTAGAAGATCGGATCAGAAGTAACTGATAAAGTATGTATTTTGTCGTGTATAGTATGTTGGCATGTAAATAAAGTGTTAGTTATGAATGCTCTGATCGATTTTGGTTGTTTTGGTCATTTTATGTAAATAAATTGCTTTGTGTTAATGAAAGTTTTAAATGTTTCGTGAATTTTGTCGGGAGTCAAAGTTTGAAAAGTCAATGTGACACCTCAGACTCGTATTCGGGTCGGATACGGGTTGGGGTGTTACAATTAGACTATTTAAGAAAAATAAAATAACTTATTAGGTATTCATACTCAAAATTCAGCACAAACAAAGTGACTTTAGTGATTAAGGGATTGTTGCTATCTTTGAGGTCCCGAGTTTGAGCATTGCGTATGTAAAGGTATGAGCTTTCATTGTCAAATAGTTGAGAATCTTTATACAGATAGTATATTATATTCACCCCAGATTTTTATATTAAAAAAACTTAAAATTCACAAGACAACACCTAATTTGTATAATATTTAAACTTACAATAACTTAAATTGTTACTAAACCAAAAAATTAAGAATATGAGGTTATCATTCTTTAGTTCAGCCCCTACTCGATTAAATATTTAATAAATTATTATATTTTTTAATTTTAATATTTATTTTTAAATGAACTAAAATACTATTTGACCAAAATTATATCAAATATACTAAATTTTTAACAGAGACCGGGACCTCTTTGGACCACAACAGAGCTTCGCCCCTGACTATGATAAACTAATAATTCTATGTTTAAGTTGAAAGAACTTCATGTATAAATTAATATTAGTAATGTATTTTGATTTCCAAATTAAGTTAATTATTTTATAATATGAAAAAATAATAATTAATTTTAATTTTAAAGTAAATATTGAAATTTCTTATTATTTTATTTAAAAATATATACAAGTTTTGATTTAATTAATATTTTATATCAAATTATCTCCTTATAAGTAATGAATTAAAATGATTTGTTTTTAAAGTTGATATAAGTATATGACTATATTAATAAAAAATTAAATAAAAAATCAATTGTGTAAATAAATTTTTTAATGAAAAAATACGGTTGGGAAGAATATTTTTTTTGGATAAATTTTTTTATTACCCATAAAAGCAGAGTCTGCTACAAATCAAATAAGTGTGATCAGATTCAATTCGATACAAACAAAAAAAAAACCGAAAACTAATAAAAAACCCGATAACCAGAAAAAAAACGAAACCGATAAGATGCATAAACCGAAACAGAGCAAGCAAAAGAACAAAACAGGATGAACAAAAGAACAAGACAAAAAAGGTCAGATGCATAAAGCGACAGAAACGGGGACGCTTGACGCCTAACCAAAATAATATATATATATATATATACACACACTTAATTTTAAAGAATTTAAGATTTTAAAAAATATATATCATAATATTTTTCATTTTTTTTAAAAAATTAAATTTTTATAAACACGACACATATCATATAAAAAAATTAACATTTGTTACAACTGATACATTAAAAATGATAACATTAGAAACCTACAGTGATAAAACAATTAAACACCTAAATGAGAAAAGTGGTATAAATTGAACATTTTTTTATAGTAAGCCTAATATCTAACCAACTCCAGCTTGCTACAATAACAAGCAAAAGTGACAAATAGGAGCAATAATGGTTTGGTTTTAGAGGGAAAATATGATGAATTTGCAGAATTATGATTTTTAAAAAAGAAAACCAAACGGAATTCCGTTTATAACTGAACCAAACAATGCAATTCAATATTTTTTTCTCAGCCCTATTGACAAGCACATCTCATAAAGGTTGTGTTAATGGGCAACCTTCTTCCTGAATAGGGTCAGTACATTATTAGTGCAATTCAAAGCTTCTCAGGTTAACCAAAATATGATATAGGCATGGTAATAACAATTAAAGGCTAAGGTCTCAGAAGTCTCCTAACTTAATTAATTTAAATGTCTCTTTCTGATAAAAACAGTTGACTGTTAGTGAAAATGCAAGTTTGGTCAAACCATATAGGAGATACAGGTGACAACCATAAACATAGCCCTAGAGTGCTTTAACCGAAAAATGGGTTTCCTCTTACCAGCATGCCCGACCGGTTAGTACAACTAGTCACCGGTTAAAGCACGTGGTTTATGCTCAATGGTAAACAAAGACATCCCTGTTTGAGCTACTGCTCTCACAAATGCCATATTTGCAGTCAAAGTTGGAGCACGCCAGTAATCACCAGTTCCAAACACAATCTTGTTTTTCAGTGCCAACTTTCTTGTAGTTGGTAGGCCTATCAATCGTTCAGAAGGTCTGTCTCGCACGACCCTGTTACAATTCACATAGAAAGAACGTCAAGATAAGTCATATTCTACATCCAAGAGAACATAGAATTGGGACTTAGCTACATCTAGTACCTAAATTTACCTACAATTGAAATTATTGTCACATTTTATGTTTCTCAGAAGATATAAGTTTGTTTTGTTTTCCTTATTTTTAAGCATCAGGAATTCCAGTAATTATATATTTCTGGAACTCACAAATTGAGTCCAAGAACACTTTTTAGTTATGCGTATAGGCTTTAATTATGGTTTTGGAATTTTTTTAAGTCAAATTTGGTGGCTATATAACAGGTTCTAAGAATAAGATTCCTGTGATTTATGTTTTGAAATAGGTCATATTGACTCCAAGGGAAACTTAGGACCTAAGATACAAGCTAGCAATTTATTCCATCAAAAGAGCACTATTTCCTGTGGTTTTCCAGCACTATTGCACTTCAGACTCTAAATCAATAAACCTTGGAAATGAATTACGACTCCAATGAGAAGCTAGAAGTTCTGCAGCTTTAATTGAGATTTCAGATTTGAAACCAGATATTGTGCGGGTTTGATTCACTACCACAGACTAAATGCCCCATCATTAAATCCTTATACTCGTGTCAATTCGCCATCAAATTAGCAAGAGTTGTTAGAGAAACTCACAGGAGGCATTTCAGTAGCTGATCAGCTCTGCATTTCTCATTAGCTCCTCCACACATTGATACTAGCTCCTTGAACTCTGAAAGAACACACTCACATATCATGCCTCTCTTTCCAGATATAGCAGCACTGAATTCCGCATGTATTGGGTTCTCAAGTTCAGACATTGCCTGCAAGAGGTACACACCTTACTACAACAAAGATCCATGTATAATTTAGGCTAAAACAAGGTACAAATCAAAACAATGATAATGATAACAATAGAAAAAGTAAAAAGTCAGCATCATAAAGTGATGCAGCATACAAATTAGAACCAACCCACATGGCTTTGTACTAATCGTGGATATAATTTAAGGAACCAGGTTACCAGGTCCATAATTTTAGTAGGAAAGGCAATAAATAAGGATTTGCAAATTCATTGGGGCAGACAATGGTTATGATTTAATGACTGAAATTGATAGTTCTTCACTGCTGGTAGCTTAAAAATCCACATGGCAGCACAAATAATCTCATGGATATCTTGAATACTTAATTTGCAGGACTCAACATGAAAATACGTAGGCCTAATAAAATGCAAAGGGTATAACATTTGGTGATGCAAAGGAGATGAACATACAAAATAAAATCAACTGTTACATGATTGCAGTATTGGCATTACATTGGGAAAGAATGCCAAACCTATGACTTCCATGGATACTTTCAAATTTCAATTAGAACAAAAATATTTCCTTCAATCTTTAGAGAAATAAGGCTCGTAGATGTAGCTAAGATTTTAGAAGAAAAGTATCCTCTATAACCAGAGCAAGTATGAGTAATCAGTCTGCCTTCAGTAGCTTCACTAGTGAATGTTGTGTGAAAAAGAACAGAAGAAGTTTTAGAAAGCTCTCTTTTCTCAAATTGCAGAAAGAAAATAAATAACTGCATAGATTAGTACAAATGCTATGACCATACTGCCATGACCATTTGCTAAACATGATGAGCCAAGAAGCTAGAAGTCAACAAGAAAACAGCATATTTTCTATAATCATTTCATTTCTTCTAGGGCGGTAGACTGGGGGAAAGAGATATAATTAGACATCTGACTGTCATTTCATTGTAATTAATTTCACAAGAAATATTCCTGTCATTACTCATCTTAAATAAGAGATCAATGAACTGTGCTATAGAAAGTTTTTATGTTCCTAAACAACATAAATCATCAAAAGTTTTATATGCATATTGAACCTTCAAGAAACATAACTTTCAGTTTAAATATCCATGCCTAGAACCTATTTTACACTACCTACCTTAATATTATGTCCCATGAAGCAGTATCAATAACATAGCTTTAGTGAAAATTTTACCTGGGCAATCACAAAGTCATAATTTCCCTTGAACCGATGCCGCAATTCAACTTCTGGTTTATTCAAAAGTTCCTCTGCACAACCATTGCTAATTCCTGATACAAGAGCTATCAAAGCCGTTGTATCAAAGTTGATAAAATCATCCTCATGGGTAAAATTCTCCATCTTAGCAGATTCAACCTTTTTCATTTGTGAAAGAAGAGCAGAAAAAGAATCACCAGAGCCTAAGTTTGGATCCACATTTTCTCCTTGATGCTCAGGAGAAAAAACATTCACAAACGAATCTTTAATTCCACGCTCAGAAGTTATGCTCACATCACGATCAACCTTAATTTCAAGTACACATGCCTCCTTATACAACCCCGAAATTACATGAACCCATTCACCTTCAATTTCCTCAGCAAAATCAAAATCAGAATTCGAGAACTCCCATGCTGGCTTGAAGGCCCCAAATTCATCCTTAAGCTTCTGTTGGTTAAAAGTGGTAAGTCCATTTGAAAAGAAAAGGATAATAGAGTAAGGTCTTAAGGTATTGGTTGACTTTGTTGCATCAAGGACTTGCTGAATTCTTGACTTCAAACCCTTGGTTTTGTTACATGAATGCCAAGTAATGTAATTTGGGTTTCTATCAGAAACAATAACCCAAACTGGGTTTTTGTTGAGATTACATACAATATGGACATGGATGGAATTTGAAGGGGAAGATGAAGCATGAAAGGTTTTATTAAGTTTATTTGAAAATGGAAGGGGAAGTGGCTTGCAAACACGGGAAACTGCAGTTATAAAAGGCTGTCGAAGAATGTAGACAATGGCTTCTAGGTGCCCAAGGTTGACGCTGTTCATTGCAAACAAAATAACAAAATATTTTCGTCAATTGTAAGATTATTATTATGGCTCCGTTCCTCATGCATATGCAACAATATATGCTACTTTTTAACCAGTTTTGTTAAGGCGAGCGCCTAGACATTGCACCTTAATGATAGACAAAAAAAGAACCTCAAATCCTCCTAGGCAAATCACATTTTATCAGGCACAGGCCTGGTGTTCCTAGGCAAATTCTTTTATTTTATTTTTTTCCCATTAACCGTACCTTCACTAGTAAGAAGGATAAAACTCTATAATACTCAAATTTTGAGTATTCAACAGCAAAGAAGGCAGCATAAAGAAACCATGCATATCGTCCAGCAAAAAATATTTACATGTTTTGTAAGATAAATTGCATCATTCTTTAAATTTTAAGCTTATTTCATAAATACAGAAAATCACGCATATATAAATATAATGCCTTCATTAGGGAGTGATATTTTTGCATCTTATGCCTCATGCAATATGTGCTTTGCACCCCTAACAACACTGATTTTATTTACTTACTCATTTTAATAATAATAATAATAAATAATAATAATAATAATAATAATAATAATAATAATAATAATAATAAACTTATGCAGTTACTAGAGGAAGATGACATAATTAAAATGGTTTTTTTAATAATCAAATACATATACAGAGAGCTAAAATATAAAGGAGCGATGGTGAATAAAAGCGAAAGAAGAACCTGAGAGGTTGAGAAGGGGTTGGGTTAATGGGGAAACGAGAGAGAAAAGAGAGCTCGGAATGGGCCAACTTGAGGAGTGTGTGCTTGCAATTTGAATTGATGGTGGCGACACCCAAACAATCTATTTTCTCTATCAGCACGCAGCATCTCTTTTTGGCTGCTTCCACCTCCGCCTCCATGCTCCTCCGTTCCCGATTACCTTGGTTTCTCAAGATTGTCAACTTCCCCCAAAATTTATTTCTGGGATAAGAAATGTTAATTTAATCTGATAAATCGATTTGTAATCAACAAAATTAAAGAAAGATACTATTTAGATTTGAATTTTTGTTTCGGTAATACTGGAAATTTGGGGATATGAATCTCTTAGGTTAAATTAGAAAAATAACATCGGTGAAAAGGAAATTTAGGCATGCGATATATATATATATAAGAGTTTAATATTATTGTTAAAAATAATTTTAAACTAATAAATAAATAGTTATTTTGAATATAATGTTATAAGTTAAAAATTACATATTTAAATAATTTTAAATTCTTTGATAACATAGTGTATAAAGTATATTAATTTAAATTATAATAAATGTTACATCCCAAACTACGAGTTAGTGTCTAAATTGTAAAATTTTAGAATTTGTTGATTAAAGTGGAAAAGTTGAATAGTTCAATGATTTATTTGGAAATATTTCCTAAAGTTTTAAAGGAATTAAAGGGCAAAATAGTCATTTGACATGAAAAATATTTTCTTTCCTTAATAAATATGATTCACGTAGGGGTGGGGGGAGAGTTATCTTAAAACTCTTTCTTCTTTCCTCTTCTTCTTCTTCCTCTCGTATCTCCAAGCTCAAGGTAAGTTTATGATTTCTTGATTATTTGTTGATTTAAAGATTGAGTTATGATCATTATATGATAATTAAGCTTAAGGAAAGCTTAATTAGTTCTAAAACAACAAGATGAAAGGTATATGAGAGATTAAAGATTTTGAGTTCTTGAATGAAATCTTGGAATAGAGTTCATTATTAGAAGTGGAAGTCAAATTTGACTTGTCATAAGTGGAATTAAGAAGTATGAAGTGTTAGAATTGAATTTAGAACATGTTGAAAATTGGGTATGATTCATAAAGTTTATAAAGGGGAAAGGATTTTGAGGTTTAAGATGAGATAAATGGATATGTATGTGTATTTGAGTTAAGAATATAAAAGGGGATGAAATATGAAGAATTGAAGTTGAAAATAGTGAATTTTCGTATTTGAATAGTAAAATTCTGGGTTTTTACAGATTATGCAGGAGGTACAGATACCCTATGGGGGGTATCGATACCCCCTAAAGGAAAAATGGAATTTTTGGTCCATTAAACTAGCTTAAGTTATTGATATCAAGTTATAAGGTTTAGGCTTCTAATAATCATCTCAGAAATTATGTTTATGTAGATTTTGAGCCTAAATAAGTTCCGAAACAATCAAAGAATTAGGATTGAACCAAAGCAAGCAAGACTAAGATGAGTGCAATTTAATTGTACTTATGCTATCGAACAAACATTGCTTGCAATGAGCCAATGAAGGAGTTACTATGGTAAGAAGTGACTCCTAAAATGTTATTTAATTTGTGATGCATGCATAGTGTTATACATGAATGTTTTATACATCATTGTATAGGATTTACGATAATTCTATTTTCCATGTTAAGTGCATGATTCCATAAGTACAAGCATATGATTGATATAGTTCTTATGTATATATGAGTACATAAAAATGGGAATATGTGTTACATGTTATTCTATGTGCTATGTGAAATATGAACATATGAGATTAAGTGAATGAATATATATATATATATATATATATATATATATATGTTTATGTGAAACCATGCAAAGTGATACAAGCTATGTGACATATGAATATGAAATCATATGAAAAGTGACATGAAAGTAAACTACGTGATGATATGCACATGTGATATGTGACAGAAGAAAAGGTATATGTGATCACAAGAAAAATGCATGAGTACATGAACATATGAAACATAAGAATAATGCCCATGGTATATGATATGAGAGCTATAGGTATAGTTGGCATGCCAAGAGTCGAGGGTTCTACGTGGTCCTTCGGGACATATATGTATTTGTTGAAAACATTTTGATGTTTCGATATAACAAATTAAGTTAAATGAATTTTAAGATTTTACAAAAGATTTTCTAAGTATATTCGATGTAATTATTCGAATATCAAAATATTACTCCAAGTGTTTCAAAGTTCATTTTAATCCTTACTAAAGTGTAAAATTGTGTTTTATACTTAAACTATTTTTAAAACAATTTTACAAAGTATTTCGAACCGTTTCAAGGCCAAGAAAAATCATATTGTCCAGGGGGTACAGATTCCCCCTGCAGGTTTTTGGCTCCGAGAAAACAGAATGTCCATGGGTACAGATTCCCCCCCAGGGGGTATAGATTCCCCCCTAGGGGGTACCGATTCCTCTGTCTAACGGTCAAAATCAGATTGTACTTAGGGAACCGATTTCTTATGAGGGGGAACCGATTCCCTATGAGGTGTGCTGATTCCCCCCACGCTCCAAGATGTTTTATTAATGGATTCTCATCTCCAAACGGCTCCAAAACATCCCCAACGGCTATATACGACTTCAAACACATTCCAAGCTATAAATACAAGCTAAGGACACTTGAAGAAGCAAGAGAACAACCATCCAAGCAATCAAACACAAGAGAAGAGTTTTTCATTCTTATTTCATCTTTCTCTTGTAAATATTTTGTTCTTGTGAGCTTAATTATTGTAAACACCTACCTTAGAGAGGTTTTCTTGTTTACATTTATTATCCTTTTGTAAAGTGGAAAGGTTCTAGCTAATCCCATGTAAAAGCTAGGGAAAGGTTCTAGTTTAGCCCGAAAAACTAGGGAGTTTGTAAGGTTGCTCTTTATCCTCAAAAGAAAGAACAAATTAGTGAATTTGTTGGAAAATCCTTGGTGAGGAGCTAAGGTAGTGGACGTAGACTTTGGTTGAGAAAGTCGAACCACTATAAATCATTGTGCAATTTCTTTCAATCTCCTTACTCCCTAAACACAAAACCGCGACCCCTCTTTACAAACCGTTACGATTGTCGATTCGAGCTTCCGAAAATCCCAATAATTGGCATCAGAGACTAACTCGTTAAGAAGGTTTAACCACCTTGATACGGTTCTCGAAAAAGCTCTACCAATTTCCAACATAACCGAGAAGATGGCTTCTATCTCCGGCTCATTCCATATGGAAGACTCCCTACCAACGGACAAGCCTCATACTTCAATGGAGACAACTATCGTCATTGGAAGAAATTAATGAAGGTATTTATCCAATCCAATGATCTTGATACATGGGAGATAATCGAGAACGGCTACTCTTGTAACATCCTCAATATCAGGCTAGTGACCTAAAGGTGAATTTTAAAAGCATTGTGTTCAATTTCGAAATAAGTTAAAAGTTTAGAATTTTAATTGGAGAATTTTGAGGTTGGATTTAATAGTAAAGTTTGAAAGTAATAAGGGTATTATGGTCTTTTCTAAGAGAAGATTTTTATTTCTCTTTTAGGAGATATAAAAAACGTGGGAAATGAGGGAAATGAGTTTCCAGAGTTTTGTTCTTCTCCTTTCTTCTTCACGCGTGGAAGCCAAGAGCAAAGGTGAGAATTTTTATTAGTTTATTATTATTTGAATTCTAAGTTGGTTTTGATTCTTTGGAAAGTAAGAAAGCTTAAAGAAGTCTAAAGATAAGTGAAAACTCAAAGATGAAGAGGTTAGAAGAGATTAAAGAAAATGGGGTTTTAAGTGAAATTTTGAATAAGAAGGTTTAAATGAATTTGGAGGATGAATTTGACTTGTCATCTATAAGAATAAGAAGTTAGAAGTGTTAGAATTAAGTTTGGATAACATGGAAAATTGGGTATGATTATTGATTTCCATATGAAAGATGGAATTTTGAGGTTAAAGATGAGATAAATGAATATTAATGAGTTTAAGTATGTATATATAAGTTAGGAATATGAAAGGGGTTGAAATATGAAGGATTTAATCCAAAAATAATGAATTTCCGGGTTCAAAAAGAGTATTCTGGGCAGAGTGCATTGATGCATATTCATAGTGCACCGATGCATCAAGGTTAAAACCCAGAAATTGTTTGAAGGTGTATCGATGCACTCTTTTAATCTAAAAACATCGAATGCAATTAGTGCATCGATGCATAAGGCATGCATCGATGCATCCCAGTAATAAACAAACATCGAATGTATTTTATGCACCGATGCACTGGTAGTGCATCGATGCATCGATAGGGAATGCATCGATACACTGTACAGTGCATCGATGCATACCTTCATTAAAAGATGAAATGGGCTTTTCTTTTAGCCTAAGAAGTGACAATTTAGAAGATATCAATTAGTATACTGATATGTATCAATGTATTATTATGATGTAGATATAAAATGAAGCTTGTTCCGGAACAATCTAAGGATTAAGATTGATTCAAAGCAAACAAGGGTAAGGTGAGTGCACATTATTTAGTATATGAGGTTCAATGGAAAATAAGACTTGCAATAAGTCTATTTCCAATAATGAAAAACATGAATTCATAGAAGTATATATTTGTTATGATTTATATGTGTTATTGATATGAATATGGTAAGTAAAAGGGATTAAGGGTGATGATAAGAATAATAATAAGGATAATGAAAAGATAGGTATATGTGAATATAGGTATTGATGTGTTTTTGTATGTATTGTAAGATGATATGTTTATGTGATAACATGATAAGATGACAATGATTTACATGTCATATGAACACATGAGAAATGTTATGAGCCATATGAAAGAGAAAGTATATGTGATACATGAGGGTGAATCCTATGTTTATATGAATATGAACTCATATGAGAATTGACATGAACTACGTGATTACATGTATATGTGAATGAAACCATGAACTTATATGAATATATGATATGTTTACATGAATATGTCAAGGGATATAAAAGATAATGCCCATGTTATGTGTCATGAGAGCTAGGGGTATAGTTGGCATGCCAAGAGTCGAGGGTCTATGTGGTCCTTCGGGACATATATGTATTCTTTGGAACATGTGTGAAGTCTGGTGAGACACATACTTGATCCTTGGCATATGTATATGATTCTTAAGGAATGATATGTGGTCCTTCGGGACATATATGTATTCTTTGGAACATGTGTGAAGTCTGGTGAGATACATACTTGATCCCTAGTATATGTATATGATTCTTAAGGAATGATATGTGGTCCTTATGGACATTATTATATGGCACTACGGTGCAATT